CCCCCCCCCCCCCCTTTCCTGTCCTGCCAGTCCTGTGCTCAGATTAAGGGTCTGGTTGGGAATTTTAGGGGACCTATAGGGCCCGGTATGACTTTTAAGGGGAACCCCATGCACTTTTTTTTAACATGGGGGTCCCTCCTAACATACATACCAGACCTAAGGGGTCTGATATGAATCGGGAGGGGTAACCCGCCCATTTTTTTTTTTTATTTTTTTTTTACACATTTTTGTAAAATCCTCCTGAGGTAGCGAGCAAAATGACCGAGCCGAATGCTGCTCGGCGGCATTCGGCTTTTCATTCATTGCTGTTGAGCCCCTATGAAAATAGGGGCGAATGCGGCGAGTGAACTACCGGGCATGCAGCTCAGCTGATCCAGATGATGGATCTGCTGAGTCGAACGGGTTTCTTCACTTCGTCTCAGCCAAACATGCACAGCATGAAATCAGCTGTACTCGACTAAAGTAAATAGCCTAACGGCGTTCGGCTCCCTTCACTTCAGCTTGGTCATTCACTCGGCTGCCTTCGGCAGCTTAGTGAATAACCCCCGCAGTTTCCTGCAGAATCAGCTGGTCACTTGAGCACTGGCCCTGACTTCCTGTTTTAGAATGATTCCTTTCTCAAGCAGAATGCTATTCAGTCACCCTTGTGTGTGCTAGTAAGTTGTGTGTGTCTCCACAGACACAGCAAATCTAGGCCCCGTGCAGACATGACTTGTGCACGATTGCCGTGTGGTGAAGTGTCGCCTTGGTGTGCACCGGCCCTAAAGCTACTTCCCTCCCCCTGCTACCTCTCCTCCCTTCTCCAAGCTAGTAGATGAACAGTCGCTGGAGTCTGCAATGTCTCTTGTGATCTTCTACTAGACGGGAAGCTCAGGGAAGCTGAGCTAAGAGACTTGGAAGCAGCTGTTCAGAAAAATAGTATACCAATGTTTGTTTGCTCTGCACTGGAAAGAGCTCTGGCCCACTTTTTTTTTTATCAACTGCCTTTGACAGCCTGGTTACCAAAGAAGACCTTCTCTTCCTAACCACTTCACAACCACCAGTCATACTAAGTAGTACAAGTTTAAGTGGAAATTGTTTAGAAAAACTGATGCAAATCTAACTTTAAGTTTTCAAAATGTTTAAATTGAATATATTTCTCCTTCAAATATCAAGTGTATGCACACGCAATAAATAAGAAGTATACACTCTTTTCTTGATTGCTGCAATTATTTTATTAGCTGGTTAAGCAGACATGGCACATGTACATTGCTACAAGACATATGGACAGTGTCCCAGCCAGTACAAAGAGGCAAGGATTGTATAGCACCAAAGTCGCTTTACAGCTATCATATCTTTAACGATGTTCTTGTCTTGAACAGCAGATATAGCTCAAAACCAACCAGCAAGCTTGATATTCAAGTGGATTTCAACAAGAGGGCAGGAAAGTCCAGCACAGGTAAATAATACTGCTAATCACAGAAGAACCTGATATGTTTGTATATTTGAAAGAGACAAATGATTACCTTTTCCCTAGTACATATGCCAATAGATTATCACCCCCACACTTATGTCAATATATGTAGATTGATCAAATGGTTGGTTACTTCATTATGATGGCATGATGCTCCTTGGTAATATATTACCAATGTGGAAACAAAACATTTTTGCACAAAGTGTGAGAAGGCATTAGAACAGAAAACCGGTAACACCACAGTCTGGGACACAGGCACTTAAGAGGTGGCTTACCATGATGTAAGTGGATATTGGTAAAACCTGAACCTTGTACATTAGACACTCAAATGGAGAAAAAAAAAAAGTCACTCAAAATAGCACAGGCCGCTCCTTGGTCACTAGGCTTGGGGTATTTAGAGGTGTTAGGACATTTGTTCTCTTCGACTGACAAGTAGCATTTCTTCAATTCTCCCCATCAGCAGGTTGATCCTTCCTGGATTCAGTCACCACCTGCTGTATGCAAATGTGAACATGGTAGAGAAACATTATTACAGAAACATACATCAATTTAGAAAGCCCACCACCTAAATACCAACTGCACCCATTTTGTTTTTAAATCATTCAGTGAACTCAAAGTGCTATCTAGGAGATATTATTACTTTGCTAAATTCCACTAAGTGAACCCTAATGCAGCTTAGATCAGATCAGTTTATAATTCCTGATTGAGCAGGACTTTTAAAGAGCCTCTAGGTTGGACTATAGCTTCTTGCAGGTCATTCTGTGCTATGCAACCTTCTTCCCCAGAACTATGCCTACCTGCACATAATACTTCTGAAAAATGCAGTAGGATGGAATGAGGGTGTGAATCATTTATCAGCGCTAAGCACATTTTTAAGACGGTCCAAAGGCATGCGCTAAGCACATTTTTAAGACGGTCCAAAGGCATGCATCATTTCTACAGGTATATACTGTATATTATATTGGAACAGGGCTCTAAAATAAATCCTCTTAGTTCTATGTAATCCCATTTAAAATGCTCAACAGTCCCCTTTCCAGACATGGCAAATATACCTTTTGGTATCTTGTTTCCCTCTCCCTCCCATCCAACCATTTGGATTTTTCCAGTACCTAAAAATGGCTGTGCAAAGGGAGGAATTCGGCTGTTGTGGCACATCACAGATATGTGGTGTAGACGTGGCTGCAGAGACTACAATTTCTGGTATTATTTGCCGCTCTGGACACCAGCAAGGGAGTACATACAAATGCAGCTTTTACTCTCGAGTCTTCCTATTCTCCTAGAAACTGCATGATGTCATACCTTTCGTTTCAACCCCGTACTTCAGGCTCTGGACATACTGACTTTTAGCCAACTGCCTAAAGCCTTTAAATCGGAAACACCATAGGGGATGGACAGAAATGGAGCCAACCTCAGCATCCACATACAGGAGTGTTCAATAGTAAAGCAATCAATAAATTACTATTAGCAGCAATCTTCAAATGTCTTAAAATCTTTGAAAGAATCCACCAACTTTATCCACTTTATTAAAAGAGGAAGTAAACACCTCTCTAACTTGCTGTTTTGACTCAACCTGGCAATGCTGTATACACTCTAAGGTTGGCCATACACTGATTTATTTTTTCGTTTAAACCGGCGGGCAGAACGAAAAAATAGACCCGATTTCCTTCGTCAACACTAACAGCCTGTCGATTTTGAGGAATCCTGCTGATTACATACAGCGGCTGTCGGCACCCATCAGAATACACAACCAGTTTGAAAATTTTCCGACGGGCTCCTTCGATCAACTGATTGAGGGATGCCGGTGTTCTATCAAAGTTTGTGACTAGGTTGGAATGTGTGACCGGTCACGTGGTCACACATTTTAACGTAATCCTGCCAAGTTTTTCTTCCACTTCTTTGTGAGTGAGATCTTACATTCCACCCGCACTCACAAAGTCGGATATAAGTCTCATTTCAGGACCGATCAGCTGTTCCATGTCAGATCGGTTCTCCTGCACATATGATCTGCGATGCCGATCTGCCCTGGAACAGCTGACAAAGCCTTGGAATATTTGACCTAATGGGTGGTCACACATTATACTGCCAAAAAAACTGGTGGGACTACGTTAAAATGTGTGACCACGTGACCGGTCACACATTCTAACGTAGTCACAAACTTTGATAGAACACCGGCCGAAAGGGTGCCAACAGCACCACACACTGTGCGAATTGGCTAAAATTCACACAGTGTATGGGCATCTTAAGGCAAGAACCATAACCAGAGCAGATTGGGGCTGTACTCATTCTCTTAACTCTGTCATCTGTATTTCAATCAGCTGAGAACATGTAATCAGAGCTATGCTCAGCATGCTTCATGTAAATGCACAATGGTTTTAACAATTTGATATATAAATAGTTTTAAACTTTATATCAATATACTCTACTTATGGTTCTTGCATATTAATGCTGCCTGATAACCAGCTAATTCATTCTGCAATTTACAGAAGATCCACACTCTATAACATGAAATGAATAGTTTAACTACACAGACACTGCACCTTCCATCATTGATCACGATGTGGTATTGATGTTAGTTGAGCATAACTGAGCACCAATAAGGCTTCCTAATCCCTATACCCTTCTAGTCCTTTATTCCTCTAACTATTTGTGCTCTTTAATTTTATATATTTTAGCTTAAAAAGTTGTGCAACACTTGACTGTTTTCAATTGAATGTTAATCTGCTGGAGCTTCTATACTGTAAAACATTAAAATAACATTATTGTTATAATGCATTAAATATAAAGGCTTGTTCACACCAGATCTGCATGAGTTTCTGCACATGCAGTGTGTTTGGCTGCGCTTTTTGCTGCATTTTGATGCGTTCCGGGCCGGAAAAAATGGGCTTTCAGTGTGTTTGATGCGTTTGCATGCGTTCCAGAGCAGGTAAAATAGGGCTTGCTGCAGTTTTTTTTTACATGCTCTGGAACTGAACGCTGCGGTGTGAACTAGAGCCCAAAATATCATTGGAATACATTGTACGCAGTTTTGATCCGGTCTGTAACTGCTCTGCTCCTGGAACGCGTTTGGTGTGAACTAGCTTTGAATAAATATGGTGCTCTTTCAAATTATTCTTGCACAAATCAAATAATGTAAGTGGTACAAACACTCCTAAAAGAAAAAAATTGGCAAACCACAAAAATATATCTAGATTTCTAAGCATCCCACACAATACCTACTCCAAAGGTTGTTATCTTTCACTTTTCAAACATTACTATTTGCCATATGTTGAATAAGACTTTTTTTTATAGTTCATAGTTGTGAAATTGTGACTCACACATATAAACATGATTATGGCACATGGCTTATTTAATGATGATGTCAATGGTCTAGCTCACCTCTCCATCTCTTGTCTCAATTGTTTTAATGACAACAGTTTTCCTGGTGTGAATCTCAGAGCCGTGATCTAATACAGGAGGTCCTGAAGGATACATAAAGACACATATGATCACTCTGTGAACTGTGAACATCAGCGTGTTTAAAGAGTTGGTCTTTCTAAAGATGCCCATACACTGCTCGATTCTCGTACGAGAATCCCGGGAAATCCCACGATCGTACGAGAATCGTGCAGTGTGAACGAAGACGTGCGACCGTTTTTTACTGTATGGTCGCACGTCTTTTGTCTAAGGAGCATGCTAGAAAACCAGCCGAGAATCGTACGATTTTCGGCTGGTTTGAACGGTGCTCGGGAGACAAATGCCAAACGGGCCGGTGTGCGCACGCGCACACTGCCCGTTCAGCATTGCGGTCATCGGAAGCCCGCCCCTTGGGGGGCGGTCCTACGATGATCGAGAGTACGATCTACCTGTCCAAGATGGGCAGATCGTACATTTTTTTAATTACTTTACAACCATCGCAAGACTAAAGTCTTGCGATGGCTGTAAAGTGTATGGCCACCTTTAGACTGATTATTCGAACTTGAATAAAAGTTGGTGAGTTGAATCGCCCACCAGCATTATATAGATCTTGGGGGGCTCTGGTTTGCAGTGTCACCCACCTACAATGACCCAGCGAATGCAGAGCTGCCCTTCTAGTGGGGAGATTTCACTACTGAAGTCCCTTAAAATTAAGACACGCTGGTAGATAAACCAATCTACATTATCTACCCACAGCCAAAATTCTACCACCACCGCATTGAATTAACCTTTTAAAGGCCGAGCACACAATAGATATTTCAAATTAGTGTAGACATCAGTGAGTTAGATCCGCCAGTTTCTTGAAGGAAAACTCCATAAGAAAATATGGCAAGCTGAACTCTGGGCAGAAATGTTATTACATTTTCTTACCTTCAAGCAATATCTGTGTCTTTTTCAATACAGCCACTGAAAAGGCCCACCTTGTCTTATGCAGAATAAGGGCTCAGTGTCCCGTATTTCCATTTTGTAAAACCAGTGGCTACTATGCCCAATTATTCCTCAGGCCACTAGACATGTTAGTAAACGGCTATGTAATTACATCACCACTGTTGTGGGAGGACCTGGGTATCACAGCCTCCTAGTCAGTCCTTCCCACTAACACAACATGGCTGGATTGACAGGCCAGGAGACTCATGTCGAGGCTTGGCAACAACACAATCGTGCCCATTGACAATATTGGTGATTTGTTGCCGCTTCCTTCATATCTCCAGGTGCCCAGATTTAGCTGCACCTTCTGTATCTAAGCATTGACATTGTGGAGTATAAAAATATACTTTTGTAAAAACTATCAAGTTTACAAAAAAGAAAACATGTTTGTAATGCACTTAGGAACAAGAATTTATGGTCCAAATTAAAAACGATCCTGGAGTTCAAATTAGAGGTAGCCCCTGCAATAATACCCTGTTTCCCCGAAAATAGGACCTACCCCGAAAGTAAGACCTAGCACTATTTTTCAAGATTCCTGTAATATATGACCTACCCCGAAAATAAGACCTAGTTTGGTGGTAGCATGTGAGGGGGCACATGAAGAGCAGGAGAGATGGTATCAGCCTGCAGGGACATACTGTAATAAGGGATGACAGGGGACTCCCTCCGGCCAGCGCAGTGACAGGGAGCACTCCAGTACCGTACTTCACCAACTGCTGTCCCCCTGAAGGCACTGATAATGTAATGGTACTGTACCATGCTGTCCACTGTCTGATGTCCCCACTGCTGCACCGCTGGTACCACTGTCCCTGATGGCAAAGGAAGCCGGTGCTGTAGAAAGCAAGACTGCGGGGGCAGAGGGAGCAGAGCCGCATTAGCCGATACTTCCTCTATAGCGCCAGTTACTGTGACAGGAGGAGTGATACCAGATAACTTTGGATTGTTGTTGTACATCAATAACTTTAGATTGTTGTACATTTTGTTGCACATTAAAAAAATAAAAATAAGACATCCACTGAAAATAAGACCTAGTGTGTTTTTTTTTTTTTTTTGGGGCAAAAAAAATATTAGACTGTCTTATTTTCGGGGAAACACAGTAGTTTAATTCTTGATGAGATACTTTTTAAAACGCTTTACAACAAAGCAA